GTCCCACTTTTCCTTAGGATGTCCCTATTTTCATTGGAGAAATGTTGGGAGCTATGGAGTTATCCGACCCCTGGGTCGTCTGAAGGCAATCCTGTATAGGTAATTTTATTTAATGTTTAATGTTTTATTGTGTTTTTTAGATATGTTGGAAGCTGCCCAGAATGGCTGGGGCAACCCAGTAAGATGTGTAAGGTATAACTAGTAAAACTGTAATTATGGAATGGGATGTCCCTATTTTCATTGGAGAAATGTTGGAGGGTATGTTTTTCTACTACAATTAAAATGCAGTTGGTTACTGGTATTTTGCCAGGCACTGTACAGAGCCACACAAACAAGTTGCAATGCAGGGTATTTTGCAGAACGGTCACTGCTCCTTACATTCCAGGAAATGCATTTTCCATATTCAGGGGTCCTAAAATGTATGCATATTTTTTATTTTTGCCATACAAGATATGTAGCTGTTGGTACCAACCTATAAGGCTCTGTGCAGCTCAGGACCAGCTTACTCGAGAGACCATGAGAAATCCCTCATATACAAACTGTGTTCTGTGGGAGAATTTCTCCTGCAAGACCCAAAGACCTCAGAGGTCTACTCCAAGGTAACTTGAAGCAAGGCTTTTAGGGTTCATCCGTTTGTTCTGCCATTTCTGCTCACCTATCTGTTCTGCCATTTCTAGACATGGGCTTGAGAGGTTTTGCTTTCATTCCTCCACTTTCCCTGGGGAAAACCCGCTGTGTGCTGCTGAATCAGAATAAATGTCAATTGGGTTTTCCGCAGATTGGTGTTCCAATTCAGCAGTAAACAACAGGTTTTCCCAGGGGAAAGGACAAAAGAAGATTCTCTCAAACCCATGCTTAGAAATCACAGGATAAAATGGAATAAATCATGGGACAAATGGAAGTGTGGCTGAGCCCTGGTTCATGTGGCTTCCTCGGTTCTGCGGAACAGCATTCCCATCAAGATATGACAGGTGTCCACTACCTGCACACTTTCCGGAAACTAACATAGACATGTTTCACACAAGCTGGGTGACTAGGTCTCTACTATGGGTGTCTCATTTTAATTGTTTTTCCAATTCATTTGTTGTTATTTTCTGTGTTGTTTTGAATGTCTTATTCTTAGCTGTCTTGTTACACAGTGTGCATACTATCTGCAATACCAATGAGACAGAAACATGGAAGGTGCCTAAAGAAGCCAGGGTGGCTATCTAAAGAACTTTTAACTGAGTTAAGATTTAAAAAGGATGTGTACAAAAAATGGAAAAGGGGGGAAACCACCAAAGAGGAATTCAAACAAATAGCCAGCACGTGTAGACACAAAGTCAGAAAAGCTAAAGCACAGAATGAACTCAGGCTTGCTAGAGAGGTTAAAAGCAACAAAAAGGCTTTTATGGGTATGTCAGTAGCAAAAGGAAGAACAAAGAAACAGTGGGGTCACTCAGAGGAGAAGATGGTGAAATGCAAACAGGGGACACAGAAAGAGCTGAACTCCTCAATGCCTTCTTTGCCTCAGTCTTCTCCGATAAAGAAAACAATGCCCGACCTGAAGAATTTGGAGCAAATGATTCAGCAAAGGAAACACAGCCCAGAATAACTAAGGAGATAGTACAAGAATACTTGGCTAGTTTAGATGTATTCAAGTCTCCGGGCCAGATGAACTGCATCCAAGAGTATTAAAAGAACTGGCAGATGTGATCTCAGAACCACTGGCAGTCATCTTTGAGAATTCCTGGAGAACGGGCGAAGTCCCGGCAGACTGGAGGAGGGCAAATGTTGTCCCTATTTTCAAAAAGGGGAAAAGAGAGGACCCAAATAATTACCGCCCAGTCAGTCTGACATCAATACCAGGGAAGATTCTGGAGCAGATGATTAAGCAAACAGTCTGTGAGCACCTAGAAAGGAATGCTGTGATCACCAATAGTCAGCATGGATTTCTGAAAATAAGTCATGTCAGACTAACCTGATCTCGTTTTTTGACAGAATTACAAGCCTGGTAGATGAAGGGAATGCAGTGGATGTAGCCTACCTTGATTTCAGCAAGGCATTTGACAAGGTGCCTCATGATATTCTTGTAAAGAAGCTGGTAAAATGTGGTCTTGACTATGCTACCACTCAGTGGATTTGTAACTGGCTGACTGACCAAACCCAAAGGGTGCTCATCAATGGTTCCTCTTCATCCTGGAGAAGAGTGACTAGTGGGGTGCCACAGGGTTCTGTCTTGGGCCCGGTCTTATTCAACATCTTTATCAACGACTTGGATGATGGACTCAAGGGCATCCTGATCAAATTTGCAGATGACACCAAATTGGGAGGGGTGGCTAACACCCCAGAGGACAGGATCACACTTCAAAACGACCTTGACAGATTAGAGAACTGGGCCAAAACAAACAAGATGAATTTTAACAGGGAGAAATGTAAAGTATTGCACTTGGGCAAAAAAATGAGAGGCACAAATACAAGATGGGTGACACCTGGCTTGAGAGCAGTACATGTGAAAAGGATCTAGGAGTCTTGGTTGACCACAAACTTGACATGAGCCAACAGTGTGACGCGGCAGCTAAAAAGCCAATGCAATTCTGGGCTGCATCAATAGGAGTATAGCATCTAGATCAAGGGAAGTAATAGTGCCACTGTATTCTGCTCTGGTCAGACCTCACCTGGAGTACTGTGTCCAGTTCTGGGCACCACAGTTCAAGAAGGACATTGACAAACTGGAACGTGTCCAGAGGAGGGCAACCAAAATGGTCAAAGGCCTGGAAACGATGCCTTATGAGGAATGGCTAAGGGAGCTGGGCATGTTTAGCCTGGAGAAGAGGAGGTTAAGGGGTGATATGATAGCCATGTTCAAATATATAAAAGGATGTCACATAGAGGAGGGAGAAAGGTTGTTTTCTGCTGCTCCAGAGAAGCGGACACGGAGCAATGGATCCAAACTACAAGAAAGAAGATTCCACCTAAACATTAGGAAGAACTTCCTGACAGTAAGAGCTGTTCGACAGTGGAATTTGCTGCCAAGGAGTGTGGTGGAGTCTCCTTCTTTGGAGGTCTTTAAGCAGAGGCTTGACAACCATATGTCAGGAGTGCTCTGATGGTGTTTCCTGCTTGGCAGGGGGTTGGACTCGATGGCCCTTGTGGTCTCTTCCAACTCTATGATTCTATGATTCTATGATTCTGTTTAAGCACATTAAACACACACACACACACACACACACACACACACACACACACACTTTCCCTCAAAGAATTATGGGCACTGTAGTTTCCCTATCACAGAGGTACAATTCCCAGCAAACTACAGTGCCCAGAATTCTTTCAGGGCGGAAGATGTGCTTTTAAGGTATAATGTGTACACAGCCATTGTGTACATCATCGTGAGCAGTATCTGTGGAAAGTGATGAATAAGTAACACCAGTCCTTTTTTTCTGGGGGTACGCAGGGGTACGCATACCTGTGAACATTTTGTGAATCTTTGTACTTTTGTCCATTTACTGTATTTATTTCCCCCGGTTTGAACTATAAAATGGTGATTTTCTTTAGTCAAAATTAGAGTACTCCTAAACATCTTTTTAGAAAGAAAAAAAGTACTGAGTGACACTAATAATAACAGTTCAAACAGTACCAGCACATTGCCAACACTGTAAACTGCAGCCTAGCAGGATTAGATTGATTCAATACAACAGGAGAGTGACTGTGTTGAGAAGAAGGACTGCTCTTTAGCGATCTTTTCCTTTATGTACCTCATTCATCCACTTCAGTGCTATGTTGGCCATGCAAGAACCTGCTGCCTGGATGCAGATGTAGCTTTGAGCTATGCCAGCAACTACGGTAGTCCTCGAAAATGCATGAAGTGTTGCGCTGCTACTATATTTTAAAAAAACAAACGCATGCATGCAGCTGGAGGAATATGTGTTAGGGCAGCAGATTGTGCTCCAGGAACCAGGCCAAAGGGGACCAAAGGTTCCCGGTCTAATAAGGAGGGGGGCGAGTCCCTGAGACAATCCCATCCAGTGACTACGCAGGGACAGAATGTACTGGAGGTTTGGTAACAGGAGCTTCCCAGTTCTCCCCCCACCCTGCCCCCGCAGAGTACTGCACTTAGCAAAGGATGAGGAAGTCGCACAAGTGATTTTCTGGTTCATTAGCAGGTTGAAGGGTCAAAGGCCCAGCCAGACACTCACATCACATGTTCATCGGTTCATTATTTGCAGATTAACCTTTTCTGAACTGCCTTGGTGCATCTAGCAGCCAGAGGCGTATCTAGGCTGGCCAGGTGGGAGAATTATTATTATTATTATTAATAATAATAATAATACCCCACCATCTGGCTGGGTTTCCCCAGCCACTCTGGGCAGCTTACAACATATCTAAAAACATAATAAAAACATCAGTCCTTAAAAACTTCCCTAAACAGGGCTGCCTTCAGATGTCTTCTAAAAGCCAGATAGTTGTTCATTTCCTTTACATCTGATGGGGGGGCGTTCCACAAGGTGGGTGCCACTACCGGGAAGGCCCTCTGCCTGGTTCCTGGCAACTTCGCTTCTCGCAGTGTGAGAACCATCAGAAGGCCCTCAGAGGAGGACCTCAGTGTCCAGGCTGAGCAATGGGGGTGGAGACAAAAGTTGCATCTCTCCACTCTGGCTTGGAGTAGCAAGGAACCCGTCGGCATGTTGCTCTGGGCATCTGCCAATACAGCTCCTTGCTAGGTACGCCTCTGCCAGCAAGCCCCTTGTATTCACAGTAGGGTGACAGCCCCACAGCCTGTCTAGATGCTGGAAAGGGCATGTGGAGGAGAGACATAGCAATTCTGCCTCAGTGTTGCACTAGCATTAGCTGCATCAGCCTTGCCAACCTGGTGCCCAGCCAGTTAGGGCTGATAGGAGTTGTACTCTGAAATATTTAGAGGGCACCAGGTGGCCAAAGACTACATGAAATGGTATCTCCATCCACATAATGGTGGAGGCGGATGAGGGCCTGGGTACCCAAGGTTGAGAAAGACTGGAGAACACACACACACACACACACACACACACACACACAAAATTTGGAATTCCAACTGATCCTTGGTGGGATCTTGAAGGATTCTTTCAAATCTGGAAAATAATTATGAGGTGGAATTTTAGAAAGATGCTGTTCTGTGAAAAATCATTGTTTTTGCAGTTGTGTGTGTGTGTGTGTGTGTGTGTGTGTGTGTCCCCCATTTCCCCCAAAGCATCTGGTAGCACAGGCATCGCTTTCCTACTGCTGTTTCTGTCTTTCCATAGGTACACATAAGTCCTCTGACCTGTGCAGAAGTCAGTCCAGAATAATGACAGCAGCTCCTGTGAGTTCTGGCTCAAGCTTCTCCCATTTCTCTGTTCTCTGATCCAAGGGAAACTGAATACTGTGGTAAGGTGTCTATGTTTCAAATGCATGACATGAAATTGTGTCCGTTCTCCTCACCCTTCCTTCCCACAGAGAAATGCAGTTTCTGTACGTAGGATGCAAAAAAAAAAAGTGATTATATCATTACTGTAGGTATTATTGGTAGTAATCGTTTCTCTACCAGACACACTTTTTCAAACTGCTTCTCAGCACTTTTGTCATTTTGACAGTAATTGCTGCTACTAATAGTGAAAGTCCTTACCATATTATTTATAATTATGTAATGCGTTCAAAAAAACAAGTGGTGAAATGGCCATCACTTTCATCTGTTTCCACACACACAAAGTTCCTGGTATACAATTGGTGAGTGCTCCACAACTGTGATGGGGAACATGCAGCCTCCAACAGCATCTGGGTTGGCCGCAGGTACCCCATTAGTGAAGATGGGTACAGATTCAGCCCTGTCTCTGCAGGTTATAGCTAACCCATGAAGCTTCTTAGTTGACCCACAGAGTAACACATGCACACTGTGTGTTCTGATGATCGATGTTTTGGTCTACACCCAAAACAGATGTGTGCATTTGCTGCACTGTCATCATGTACAGAGTCGACCCCCTTCTCCCCCCCCCCATCTACATCTCCTTCAAAACGTAAACAGGTACTGCTGCAACACAGCCAAAGGTGACATGAGCATGACTGGAGAACATACAATCATACCTTGGGATAAATACGCTTCAGGTTGAGCGCTTTCGGGTTGCGCTCCACGGCGACCCGGAAGTAAAGGAGTGCGTTACTTCTGGGTTTCGCCACTCGCGCATACGCAGACGGTCAAAGTGACGTCGTCGCGGAAGCGGCGAAACGCAACCTGCGCATGCACAGATGCGCTGTCACGTCTTACGTTCTGTTCAGGATGCGAACGGGGCTCCGGAACGGATCCGGTTCGTATCCCGAGGTACCACTGTATAACACATTTTGACAAAGAAGCGCAGGACAGATTGGATTTTTGGTGTGCTTGAGGTGTTCCTGCAGCAGTTAAAGGAGGAATCTTTGAGAACAGTTACTGATCATAGGAAATAAATGGAAGAGTCCCTCCAATGTGTGGGCAGAGTTAGTTCAGCCTTGCGGGAGTTTCTTCCTGTGTTGGAGGAAGATGCTTTAGAATGCAGGGAGGATAGGGAAAAAAGTATCCATTCTATGGGTGAAAATGATGCCGTGCTTCATACTCTTGTTAAAGGGGGCATCAGGGTTAACTCAGGCCCCCAAAAACCAAAAAAGCACCATTGTAAGTGCAGACATACTTTCAACTAGTACAGGATCACAACCAACCAGGTTGTGAACCATGACATGCAGTGCAGTCTCCATCCAAATGACAAGAGACTTGCCAATAAAAAAGATAGCAGTGAGAATATTCCTGCAATAATAACAGTTGCCAACCCATTGTGTGCCAAAAGAGAGTAATTACAGTGGCAGCAATGCTATGAGTGTCGATAAGATAAAGAAAATTATTCTAAATACTATGTGTTCTTGTGGGGCCAATAAAGGAAGGCAAGCATGGGAGAGTTTTACTGTGTGAAACTGTAAATCTCTGGCTTGCAGAACTCCACCTCGCATCCGCAACCTTGCTGCAATATACAACTCATGCACTTAAGCCTCCTGCAAGATGCAGACTGTAAGTACAGTAGTCGGGTTCAGCCAGTCACTTAAAAGGTGCTGCCGTCCTGTTAAAAACACAAGGAGAATAGGACAAAGTATGCTTTTCCAGTGCACTCTGAGAGTGATGTCCACAGTTCTGCTGGTGGGGTTGATTTTAGCTGTGCACACTCATAATGAAAAGGAGATGTTTCAAAATTAATATGTTTCTTTTATTATTTGTTTCATTTTTTTCTCTTGGTTGCATTTAGTACCAAAAAAAAAAAAGGATATTTGCAGACAAAAAATAAACTCTGATACTAAAATGTAAACTTCTCTATCCATCAAAAATTTCCACAGGAGTTGAAGCTTTCCATTCTAAAACTAAGATCTCTGTTTCAGCACAGAAATCCACATAATAACGTGTGGGTTTTTTTGTGTTTTTTTTGGTAAAAGGAAAGGAAATTTTAAAAGGGAATTTCAGGTATACGCCTTTGCTGTTCCTTTGCAAACTGAGAGTTGGCAGGCTCCCAGTGCTCAGTGAATTGTACTGCAAAGGAACAGCAAAAGTTGGCAGTGATTCAACACAGAAAAAGAATAAAATCTCTGTTCAATGCATACCTTTTAAAGAAAGAAAAGAAAAAGGGTCAAAAATAAGCTTTCCTCAAATATCGATGCTTGCTAACATGACATAGAGCTGGTAAGCATTTCCTACATTTTAAAATTAAAGCCTCTGTTACTTGGCACCACCTGCGGAACACATTTAAATAAAAAGTAACATTATTAACACTGCAGTACATTGTCAAGCTTGAGATAAGACAAGTAACATTAAATAATTCCTGCATCTGCTGAAATTATCTGTCCTTGAACATAACCTTGAATCTTCAAGATTCCCAGCTCTTTGCACAGCTCTAATATGTCCTTATTGCAGAGTCCTTGAATTCAAATGCCTTCATCACTACGTTACAAGAAAAGACAGTTAATGGCTATTGCTTGTAAACTACAGCACAGTTTGTAAAGTTACATCTCTGGTGATTCCCAGTTTCCCACTTTATTCATTTCCCTCTCTATCCCCACCACGCTTGCAAGAACCCCTTCGATTGTCCATGTTTGACTTTGGCTGCCTGTGACGGGTCCTGTCTGCACAGCTGTGTCAAGTGATCTGTTCTGTAGCCCATGGTTTTGAGAATCTAACATTAAAATAGAATACATAGCACTTTACAGTTCTTATACTTTACATATCCAACACTGTGACATACATGGGAAGGACCCACGTGCAGTGAATTAGTACTCTTTGCGGAACATAAACTCCTCAGCTTCCTCTTAGAGGGCACTCACATACAAACCTGCATTTCCATTCAGTTCAGCATCCTCTTCACCCAAGTCAGAATTGTTCTCTTCTTTCTCACCTGCTTCCTCTGCCTCATCATTTTCCTGCTCTTCCTCTAGAAGGTCCTCCTTATCTTCCTGTTGTTCATGGATGGTGATATTGTCTGAAACAAGTTGCATGGGTGAATGAACAGAGCAAAACTTAAGACTGGCCAATTGAGTCTTATTTGTGGATTACAAAACCCAGATGGCACAAATACTGCGTGAAAATAAATGCAAAACTCTCGTTATAAAGCTTGTGTCTGATTGAAAGAGTTTTGTGGCACCATAAAAAGACCAATAGATTTATTACGGCAGGAGCACCTACGTCATTCATGTGTTATGGGTATAGGATTAGTAGGTATATGAGTATGAATTATACGAGTTACTCATACATGACGTATATGAGTTGCATGTGGTTGGAGACAGGGGGAGATCAGATGGAAATTATTGTTCTTGCTGCTGTTGACTGATGTATTTTAAGGATGGGGTTTTTCTCTTCTCCCAGTACAGTTCAGCTAGCTAAATAGCTTACGTTCCAAAGGCTGATGGTTCCCTGCAGCAGGAGAAGTAGTATTTTCTCCTCAACCCTGCCCTCTCAACAATGGGGATTTTCAAAGACAATTTATACCAATAGCTACTTGTTGCATTCTTTTTGTTAATGGAACCTATGTGACAAAGTTCACAACTTTTGCTAGTTCAGAGTGATGCATGGTTACTTCCCTTGGTTGGGTTGAACTCAGCAATGTTTACCGTACTTCTGTGTTTTTGTTTTTTACTCTTGTCCACTCAGTTACCAAATTGTTATTTATGCAAACTTGCTGTGCAAAGTGCACACTTCTGGAAGTCATTTCATAGTACTTAAAAAAACAACAACCAGATGTGGTATGCGTTATTGAATCAAAAAAGCAGTTCTGAAACTGCAGAGTCTTGAAATCATGGCAGTCGTTTCATGAATAATCATTTTCAAGGACAGCTCTCCCCTTTCTAAAATGAATGTTTCAGTTGTCTGTTCCCAACAGCTGCATTCTTGAACACTTTGAGCTTTGAGCTTGTGCTCAGAGTATATGATTGTGGTGAGTTCCGATTCCAATTCCTAAATGGCAGACTTGCTGCAAGGACCCTGGGATCGCGTAGCCACAAATCAGTTGGCGCAGTACATTGAGAAGCCCGTTCGTTTTGTGGGGCACCTGGAAAAGATTCATCCATCTGGGAAATTTTTCTTCCTATCTGATGGAGAACGGGGGAGAATGTAACTGAACACACCTCTTGAAGAAGAGATCTCTGGGATCATTGAAGCAGTAGGAAGAGATACAAATCAAGTACTGTAAACGTCATGTGTGCGTCATATACCCAGTTCAGAGAAGATAAAAACGCATTTTACTTAGCACTATATAATGAAGCTCTGAAAATTATCCGTGAATTCCCTGTGTACTACCCTTTTAGTACTAACGCATGATTGGTACTTTTCATTACAACTTCAGAGTGGACAATTTGGTGATCCTTACTGAACAGAACTATTCAAGAATCTCAGTATGAAACAATATTGCTTAAAGTGTACTTGGGACAGTCTGCTATGTCTGAAATATAGTACAGAATCCAGAAGTTCATGCATTTGTATCCTAAATGGTGATGCTATCCTGAGGGCAAAAAAACCCTGTGTCTAGTGAGATACAATATTTCTCAATAGATAAGCATTTTAATGATAAGCTGTCACTTGGGCAACCACCTTAGGTAAATACACAGTGCTTATACTTTTATTTTATTTTTAGGTGATCTTTTACACAAGTATCAGAGAAATCAGTGTATTATATTAAATGCAAACTATCCTAATATTGATGGCATCTAAAGGAAAAAGTGTTTGGTTTTATTCTAAGACTTAATTGGAGCTTTAGTCACCTTACCCAACCAGCATATTATAACAGTTCAACAATAAACACCATTTTATTTATCATATGTGAATATATATGATTGTGGTGATCAGCAGATGGCTGCAGTGCTGGAAGGGGTATGTTTGTGAAAAATATAATAGAATCATAGAATTGTAGAGTAGGAAGGGAGTACGAGGGTCATCTAGTCCAGCCCCCTGCAAATGCAGGGATCTTTTGCCCAGTGTGGGGCTCTATCCCACGACCCTGAGATCAAGAGTCTCATGCTTTACCAACTGATAATCCACCAACCTTGCCAATCTTGGCTGCTCCCGGTATTATTGTAAAGCTCTCTGAAAACTTCAGATGACAACATTTCTGTCAGATTTGTCAACTTTAAAAAAATAAAAACAAAAAACAATGAAAAAATAATTTTAGATCAATGCACGTTACAAAAGGGTTACGTTACGCCACAGATATTGGATAACTGATACACTTGGCAGGGATAGAGCGCAGCCCAACTTCAGTCCCACCCAAAGTGTGCTGCATTCTCAGAAGTGGCTGGCGCCGGAGTCTCAGCTACGACTGAAAGTGAAAGTATAGGAGGAAACTCCCTGGAGGGAGCCCAAAAGCACTGAAGCGCAGGCAACTGCTCTGAATATTGTTTCCTGCGGAGAGTCTGCATCAGAGCACACAGGATTCATGGAAGCTGCTTTCAGAAAGAGAAAAGGCACTGGCTGCCACCTTGATGTAGCCCCTGTTGCCTCTCTTTCTCCAGAGACAAGAGACGCAGCCACCGTTTTCATGATTCTGCTCACCCTATCATTCTATCGGGTGTGGTTTTCAGAGAAGTTCTAAGGCGCATTCTCTGAACGTTCCTAATAGTAATAGTAGAACTTTCTGTTTGTTAATCATTTCGGTAGTACCTCTCAGTCTGCAAAGTGCTTTCAACACTTTTTCTTTCAAGCCTCCTTGCAGGGCGGGGGGTGGGGGCAAGGATCGCTCAGAGTTTCAGCATCACACACCCATGGCAGAACACCAGTCCAGGCAAATACTTAATCTTCTCTCTCTCCCTCTCTCTCCAGCAAGTGTCTTTGACTGCTGATTAGTATTAGCCCTCCTGGCTTCCCTTTCATGAGGTAGGCAGAAGAGGACCTACGAAAACTGCAAAAAGGATTGCCGTGAACTTGTTTAAGGGCCTGAAAGAGTCCATAATGGTCCAGGAATTCCTGAAAGGTCAAAGGTTGGGACGGGCCCATCCAGTGTTGCTTCTTCTAGACTTACAGTATTAGTTGCTCGTTGCCTAAAAATTCCACAACTGACTTAAATTTAAAAACGTAAACATCAATACATCATGCCATAGAAAGATTCCTGTAAAATGTTAATATTTTCATATGCCTTTAAGTCATTAATACACATGCATACACAACACATACACATGTCCATGCATACCCACATTAATATGTGCAACAAACAAGCACCCACAAACACCCTTCATAACAGCCCACAGGAAGCCTTGGCAGCACGTGAACAGTAGAATCATAGAATTGTAGAGTTGGAAGGGACCCTGGGGGTCATCTAGTCCAACCCCCTGCATTGCAGGAATCTTTTTGCCCAACGTGAGGCTCGAACCCACAGCTTTGAGATTTAAGAGTCTTGGGCTCTACCAACCGAACTATGTAGAACCAAGTCAGGTGCAGGGGAGGCAAGTCTTTACCTGGCCCTGAAAAGATGGCAACAATGGTCTCAGGTGAACCTCAATGGGGAGAGCATTCTGCAGGTGTAGAAACACAACTGAAAAGGCCCAAGGGAGAGGCATGGGCAATGGTCAAGGGCAATGGGAGTTGTGGTTCAGCAGCATCTGCAAGCTCACAAGACTACAGTGGTACCTCGGGTTACAGACGCTTCAGGTTACAGACGTTTCAGGTTACAGACACTTCAGGTTACAGACTCCGCTAACCCAGAAATAATATATCGGGTTAAGAACTTTACCTCAGGATGAGAACAGAATTGCGCAGCGGCAGCGGGAGGCCCCATTCGCTAAAGTGGTACTTCAGGTTAAGAACAGTTTCAGGCTAAGGAGGGACCTCCGGAACGAAATAAGTTCTTAACCCAAGGTACCACTGTATAGCTCTCTCATTATCCCCTTTCTATTTTTAAACAAGGATAGGGCAAGAAGAGCAGCCCATCCTATCAAAGACACCTTGTCCTGACCCACAACAGAAAGGATTACTGGGAAAAACGTAACACGCCCCCATCTAGTTATCTGTGCTTCTGTTGCAGGGATAGCACATATTCCCCATGCAATATTTTGCGTCAGGGGAAATATATGTTTCCCCAGAGCTGTTTGGGTAGTTGTTATGTATACAGAGGGTGGGGCATGACTCTTGGGCAACTATTGGGTAATGCCTATGACATCACTAGCAAAGGAGCAACGGCATACTGACTTGGAACCTTTCCACTCCCTGTGTAAACATGTGGGGCTGTTTATGGGTACTAAAGGGTGATAGCAAACCATTCTGCACATACTCAGAGGCACTCTTTCCACCATTACTTCGCTTGTTCCATAAGTTGTCCCTAAGGACTTCCTTTTGTGCCAGACTTCTAGGCACAGGTCTGGGCTTTAAAGCTTTGTGCCCAAGTGGGGCATTTTTAATGTTTTACTGCTGAGTCGGCGCAAATAGGGTTTTTCATGTGGACATGTTAGGACACATGGTGCTACAGTGCAGTCTGCATGGCCACCCAAAACAGAACATTATATAGTAATGGGTCTCATTATATAGTAATGGGTCTAGGGAACAAAATGGATTGGAGAGAAGAGGATATATTGGCCTTCCTACTGACCATTCAGACCCACTGGATCTAGCCAGCTTCCTAGCTGCCATCCTATCTATTAAAAAGCGGTCAGCCAGATCCCATATGGTTGATTGCTGATACAGTTTAGAGCAATGAAAGCTGGGGAAGAGGAAAAGAGAAGAGAAAAAGCTGTCAGCCGGTTTTGATTTAGAAGTACTGAGTCAAATTACAAATTTATATAGGAATACTGTACTGTATGTTTCCTTTTTGCAATGAGCTATTGGCTGTTAGCAATGTTGAACTGTAGAAGGCTGGGTGTGATGTGCTTTCAAGGTTCTTGGTGTGTGTTTGGGTGTGTGTGTGTGTGTGTGTGTGTGTGTGTGTGTGTGTGTGTGTACAGTTGATGGCTCTTGGCTAAGTAATAAAGCCTTTGACTTTATTCCAGAGCTGAACTCTAGTACTGAAAATAGGGGTGAACTCTAGTGATCCTGACTGAGATTAAATCTTGAAGTTATCGCCATGGGCAGAAGGAAAACAGCTTGCTGATCTCAGGGAGAACAGAAGCATTTGTCTTCATTATTCATCTGCATAATCCTGGCAGCATAAGCATTAGTTACTGTTATAAGTTATTGCAATGTTTGCCACTGAGTACTTTCCCAAAACTGATAATTATTTTAACTTGTTAAAATGGGAAACCTTACAGCAGTGAGTTCTACAGATGAGTAAGCCTCTTCCCCCTAGCTATGTCTGTTGTGGGCGTTATATTTCTTAGAAGGACTCCTTGTCTTGCAAGTTGGAGAGAAACTGATACACAAGCCATCCGACTACAGTATAACAAACCAATTTATTGCATAGTTCCGACAAGTGACACATTCTGCAGCCATGAAACATCTGGTGCTTACCCTGTTCTCAACCAGAAACCAATATATCAGAAACAGGGAGTGCAGGAAGAATTTGAAACTTGAATTCTTGAAAATGTAGTTCATCAGCTAACTGCCCTATGCTTTGGGTTCCTTCAGCATTAACAAGATTTTGGTACAGTGTCTTAAGTAGGGCCTTGATTTTGTTATAGAAAGTGTAGGTGCCTTTTCTTCTTGCTCAAAACAACTCTGTGTGCCTTAAGGAGGCTCCACAAATGATGGCAACCTCCCTTTATATACTACAGTCGTACCAATATGATCCTGAGCCAAGTTAAGTGGGTGGCATTCGACTAAGTTTTACGTGGAGTAGATCCATTTGAATTAATGGACATGACTAAGGCCTGTTAATTTCAATAAGCCTGCTCAAAAACTTAGTTGAATACCACCAGACGTCTGCTGTTAGCATGCAAAGCCCTAAACAATTTGGTACCAGGGTATCTAAGGAATCACATTCTCCACATCTTTGCCAAGCTGCTACAGTCATCTGTGGGAGAAGGCTGCCTTGTCTTTGCCACATGATATGACAGAGGTTTGCTCTGTGGCTGTTTGGAACATAGCCTTTAGTGTAGCAGTGCCAGCACTGTGGAACATGTTTCACTTCGAAATCAGACAAACACTGACAATCTGTACTTTTAATTATGTTCTAGAAAAGAAAGGGGGAAAAATATATTGCTGCAGGTCTTTCACCAAGCATGAACCTGCTCACTTCTAGGAATTTGTTGGCAGTTTTCGATTAAAATGATTTCATCTGTCTTATAATATTTTATTATTGCATTTCTTGCAATAGTTAATTTTTACGGTTTTTGATTGTATCTCTGGCGGGTTTATTGTTGCAAGCTGCTCTGTGAAGACTTTTTTTCCCTTTTTTTGGTTTGCAAAGCAGTGCTTAAGTTCCGAAAGAAAGAAAGAAAGAAAGAAAGAAAGAACCAAAAGCACTACAGAAAACCTCTCCTTCTAGCTTTCCTAAACCTCTAATCTGTATCCTTCAAATAAGCAAACTAATCTCAGCAGCTAACAAGTCTGATAATATAAAGAGGCATGTGGAAGTAAAATAGAAACTGGCAATAAACCTGGCTGTTGCTGATATCTGGAACAAATGCTTTTAGAAGCATGGTATTTCGTGCCTGTGAAAAGTGCAAGGCTATAGCAAACTCCAAGCAAGTACGGTGTCAATGAACACAAAAATCCAGGGAGCTCAAATTCGGAGAAAGCACATTGTGCAGGAAATGGGAGATGTGCAAAAGACCACTCTTTTCATTATCACTTCATTTATCCCATATAGTAGCTGAATCCAGGCATTAAGTACATGTTCCAAGCCTGAGCTCTTAGCTCAAATTATCCCTGGCCCAAAGCTGAGAATGTAAAAGCACTTGCCTTTAACACAAGAGCTCGCTGTGCTTCCACTGAAGTGTCCAGCTTTCTGGTGGTGTGTGACACTTTGGGTAAGGGAGCTAAGGGAAGTCTGGCTGGCTCCTGCTATTTGAATGTCATTTGGATTATCTGAGGGTTGTGCAACAGTGGAATGGAATAGCAATGATCCATATGGCCAGTTAAATGTTGTAATGGATGAGGCTGTGTTTTAATTGCTGTTCCCTGCTTTG